GAGAGAGAGAGAGAGAGAGAGAGAGAGGGGGGGGGGGGGGGGGGTCTTTCCCACCCCCAAAATGTTTTATTTATTTTTTTTACTGTGGGTGGGGGTCCCTGCACCTGATCCTCCTCGCCAACCCCCCCCCCCCTCAAATGAGATTTATTTGAACCCCTATGACCCGTGCGAAGGGGGGTCCAAATTGTTTTTTTTTTTTTTTTTTTGGTTTTCCATTAGGGGGGTGCAGGCCCCCCCCTGCAGCACCCGTACCCGCCCCCAACCGGCACCGGGGGGTCCCCATCGGCCCCGAAAAGGCCATGAACGGATCCGTTCGCGGGCACAGGGGCCTATGCCCGGCCGGTCACCATCCACTGACCGGCCCCGGTCATGTGCACGGGGTAGACACTGTCTGCAGGTATCCTGAAGATTCCAGTCCCAACAGGGACACGATACACATCTGAGACAGCATTGCATCCAGGCCGTCAAATTCAGGAAAATCTCAGTCGTGGACACGGTCCAGTGGGAGGCTGGTCAACGCCAGTCAACACTATAAGAAGAAGAGCTGGCCAAGGGGAGGCTCATTCTGCCTTGCTGTGGCTCATGGCCAAGTTACCGTGTGCAAGGCTTGTGTGCGTAGGTGCCGGCGCCAGATGTTGATGGAGGGCGCCAGCCTTGTGGGAGGACATGTTGGAGCGGCCATAGCCGCCATAGTTGTAGCAGGAGTGCTGTGCGAGGAGGAGGATCCCGTCCGTGAGATAGATGGGAGGTCTAGGGGAAAGCTTACCTGGACGAACCTGTCCTCAACGTGATTGAGCTGCGGTCGGTCTCCACAAAGCTGAGGAGGGACAGCGCCATCCTCCATAGCTCGACTTGGACTGTGGAAGGAGGATGGGCGCTCTGCTGGAATCTGCACAGCGACTACATCAGTGGTCGGCAGAGGGAGAGCATGCACGGATGAGGTGGCGATAGGGGAGAAGCTCATAGAAGAAGTGGGGAACATACTTGTATTATTGACTATCAATGTAACTATTCTCTCTCTCTCTTCTCTGTCTCTTTCCTCCCCTATCTCTCTCTGCCTTGCTTTCCTATAATGCTTCGCTGCTTCTGAACTGTGCATTCAATCGATGTAGGGGCTTGCATTTATTTCTGGAGACTTCATGTGGGGTGCTCGGTCTAGATTTATGTGACATTGCTGATTGGCTTCTCGACGAGACTGCGTTCATTGCATAGACCTTTGGTCTCTGGTGCTAAGCCGGATGAATTTGGGCGCTCCCGGATTCAAGATTTACATTTAATGAATTTATATTTATTGCCATATTGATTAATACGAATTTAATAGTTAGTTCAACAAGTGGCCCGTCTGTTCATCATTGTCGCGGCAACGCGGCTTGTTAGCCGCTGTGGCTTTCGCCAAGTATTGGTGGTTTAACATATCATCATATACAGCCTTCAGAGATGGAGAGGTTATCGAAGGTATGTGAACATCCTTTTTTTTTTCCCTTCTCTTTTCCAATCGCGAAGCCTCTATCCCAAGGGTCAGTGAGCCCTCGGGATCGAGGTGTTGATGGGTCGATGGCTCCGATCTATCAGTGGGAAGCTGCACCTGCTGAAAACTGTGTCCAGCATCCCATTTACATTCGCAATATTGGCTAGGCGGCAAGATGCACACTCTCGTCTGTACGAAGGAGGTAGGGGCTCAATATGTGAACACCCTTGTCGAGGGACAAAACAGGAGTTGGTGCTTCTCTTTGAGTGGGGGGCGATGGTGTAGGCTTGAGTTGGCCATGGGGCAATGTGTGATCATGCTCTCATAAAGCTAATCCCTTCTTAGCGCCCAGGTGGAAATACAATTAGCACGATGATGTGCGGTTAACTGTGTGGGCAAGATGTGGTAGTTCTCAGACAGAATACATAACAGTAACGAATCGTCAACGATACATAAATGACCTTGGCTGGGAAATGAGGATAAGGAGAGAATCGGTAGGAGTTTAGGAGAACCACCGTCTTCACACCGAATGGAATGCCTGGTGATTATGGCCGTGCCTGGACTAAAAGTTGCGCGAAATACAGCTATAGTGACCGGGCGTTATATTTGGGTGAAGACGGTGGGGCTGCATAATTTGCAGATTGGACTGTTGGGAGTATGCTTTTGGGCTGGCGGGGGGGGGGGGGGCTTAGGGATAGCTGCATATTTATTGTAACTGAGACGCTGGCCCAGTTCCCAGCAGGGGTCACTCAGTCATTTGCCAGATAGGACCTTTTTTTTTTTTTTTGATCCAAATATCACCTTTCCAAAAAAAGAGTCAACCGTGAAGCTAAAAAAAGTGAGACTAAGTCTAAGATTTCTCCTTGAAGCACTCAGAAACGTAGAGAACTTATAAAGGCCAACGAACCCTGGCCTGATGGCCTGATACTATCAAACAACATCTGCTCTGAAAGAAGATAGATGGTGGAACGAGACTTTTTGAAATCACACGGGTGTTGGGGCGCGGCCAATGGTTACACAGACAGTCAATCGCCTAGCAAGAGGCTAATCAATGCTGTTCTGCTCGCTACACTTTAGTCAACCTCCGAAGATGTAAAAAAAAGAAAAAAAGATATCATCATATCGTGTAATAATAAATTTTATAAAGAATTGTATTAAACCACCAGTGCTACCCAAATTCACGGCTGCACCAAGACGTGCCGCTGGCACGAGCGGGGTTGGGGCACTGCCATAGATTCATCTAAACGGGGTTGGCTTTTGGAAGGTAGACTTTTGGAGGATGCTCTTTTTTTTTTTTTAACATCACCTCCAAAAGCGAGACACCTGGAAACAAAACCAAGATCTTGACTGTCCTCAATTTTCATTGTCTACGCGCAATCTCTCTCTCTCTCTCTCTCTCTCTCTCTCTCTCTCTCTCTCTCTCTCTCTCTCTCTCTCTCTCTCTCTCTCTCTCTCGGTGCAAGCGGGAGCTCGGCCGGGGGAGTCGCCCAGGCGTATGCATTTTTGCCCCGAGACATGCTTTGTCAGGGTTCCAACTTCCAAGGCTCTCTTTTCCGAAAGTCAAAGATTTAAACTTTCAAAGTCAACGGGAACGGTAGGCAGCTTCTGACTCGTTGACTTGATGCTGCTGCTTTTTGTCCAAGATTATTATCAGTTAAAACTTAAAAACTTACGACTCTCTTGCTGCTGACACTTCTAGCTGTGGCGCCTATTGGAAGGAAGCTTTCTTTTGCTTCAATTTCAAACAATTCTTTTCCAAGTCAGTGGAAATTGGTAGCCAGCTCCTGACCTGATGTGGCGAGTTACTTAACTCGGTTGGTCCAAGGTTGTCAGTTTGACGTTGACTCTCTTGCTGATGGCTCCAGCAGTCTCTTATTTGGCCGCTGATTGAGGATACGTGGAAAGAAAAGGGGAGGAAAAAGGAAGAAGGATATATGTAGTATGTACTAGTCAGTAGTAGTCACAACTTTGTGAGTGTTTTCAAACTGCTTTGGGGGAAAAAAGGCGGCCTCCTGTGTCCAAATCTTGGGCTGACTCTCTTGGGCAGCACTTTCTTCCTTCTGTTTTCACTCCTCCCCCCCCTTCCCCCCTTAAGAACTAAAC